AAGGAATCAGGGCTCCACAAAATGGAATTCTCGCTATCGGAGCTCCGATCAGGCAACGACCAGCGCGGGACTCGTAGAATACAGGCTTCCAGATGATTTCTGGAGCGGTGAGGTCAAAAGGAAAGAGGCAAATGGCAGCGATCGCCGGTACCTTCCTCGAACGGGAAGTTTACCAGACGGTCCAAACTGGTTTTAGACATCCAATGTTGACCTGGGAGGAATTCAAATTATTACGGCTTTGCTGAATCATAATTGTGAAATTGTAAGGTATTGCATGTTTTCATTTTTACGTTAATCAATTCGAGTGTGTGGTGGATGAAGTGGCTGCAGACACGTGAAAATCTACATCCTGTATGCAAGAATGTTGCTGGAATTTTACTCGGAAAGTATGGGAAGAATTGTAGAATGTATGAAAGAAATGTGGAGATTTTCCGCCACATAGGATACACGTTTCCTTTACTCCGTAGTGATTAGATAAACAGAAATTTTTACACTACATTTCCATTTTTTTTATTTATTTTTTTATGAATTGATAACAGTTAAGCTGAGGAAATAAAATGAATATGTACATTTTTTAAGAACACACTGAAATTAAAATTCAATAATTTTTATGTTTTATTATAAGTTACTTTCTTTTACACAAAACTTGAAACGTTTGTTGTAGTTATAAAGAATGGAAATAATAATTCTTTTCAATCAAATTTCTTAATTATATTCTTAACATTTCTACGCACTTATTTGAAAACTAACCTAGATATACACTGTAGTTTTGTCAAAAATGGTTGGAAAAACTAATTAATTTTCTTATTTTCTAATGTCTCAAACATTAAATTTTGTACTTCTCTTAATAGTTGTTTAAGATTGCATGAAAAATAACACTACTTACTAAAAAACTCAGTTTGTAAAATTAGAGTTTCTATCTAATTTTTTTCAGTTTTTATTTTCCAAATGATAACTAAATGAAACATTGTTATATGAACAGTTTCACAAATATCACTTTTTGTTTTTTGAAGATTTATGCGGTGGAAAACTTTCATTGCGGTTTTTATTTACCTATTTATTTATTCGTTTCAAAATTTGATGGCAAAATCATTGTGGACAATGACCACGACGACAACAAATTTGTTGAAATTTTGCTAAAAACTAACACTGATTCATTGTTGTGCATCATGAAGCAGATTTTTTTTAATCATCCCGTGGAGAAACTTGATGACGTCAGTTTAAAAACTTTAAATACTTATACGGTACTGCTTGTGTCTTCATAATTCTGTACGGAATGAGTAAAAAGAATGATTGGATGGACCGATTTATTTTATCGATTATCTCAACATCGGTTCCTCTGATGTTGTCCTACTTGTACTCACGCGGTTTACGTACGAGGTAATAATTTACCAATGATTATTTTATTACACCATGCTGCTTGCATACAATTTCTTATCGTTTATAAACACACATAAATGTGTAGAACGTAATGAATTACGGTTGTATATAAACAACAAAAATTACAAATGACATATTTTTGAAAAATTTAACGCTTGAATTTTAAATTTTAGATCAAAATATGAGTGATTATTATCAATAATTAAATATATAACATAAATGAACCCTATATCTATCTATTTGGGTACCAAATGTAATAATAGAACATTTTGACGGACAATATCATTTGCCAATTTTGTATAATTACCAAACTTATTGTAATCGCAGACTGTAAACAGTACCCGTAACAAATTGGGTAGTAGGTAATGAGATATAAATAAAATGCGTAATTACACAGGGCGTTTCTTGTGAACTAATCAGTCTAAATTAGGGAATTAGTTTTACCAGAGAAAATCTACAATATAATTGTTAGGCAGATAATCTCCAAAACCACCGGACCGATTGTTGTCAAATTTTACATGTTTGTTAGAGATGGTAAAACACTAACCAAAATTTGGCGAATCATCCCTACCAACAACGGGATGACCTCAACTGCAAAATTTACAATAGTAAGTCTTATTTAAATTTTATAAGTATATTATTTTGAATGTTTATTTTTAAATATCAAGAGCTTCAAAATTTTGCATATTAATGTAATAAACTACACTTGCATTTGTGATTTATGAATCCGTGTTGAGTTTGCATTCTACGCGTCCAACGTTTGGACAATTTTTTTTGCAATTTAATTTTGAAACAGCAAAACCTATAGTTCTGAAATCTTGCAAACGTTTTAAAATTATTGTAAGTACAGTAAATCGTTAATCCAAATTTATCGGTTTACATCATCTCAACATTTGATGACGTCGTCTCAAAATTTTGCCGAATAAATACTGTCTAAAATATGGAATATATTATAAAGTTATACTTCTGGTTTACATCAATGCCTTCATATTTTGTAGAATTACTTATGCAGGGAACTCAAAAATGAATGACGAAATCATTTGAAATAATTGTATACATCTTCAAATGATATTGATGTTTAAAGCTGCTTTCGACCTCTTCTAATGAGATGTGTAGTAAACAAAAATTATTTTTTTCTATTTAAATGATTAAAATAAAACATGACTGTTCTTCTTTTACCAAAACCTGTCTGTCGCTGTTGCGTAGTGTCCAATAATTCTTTTGTTATATTACATATTGAATTAAAAGAAAAACAACCTAAAGTGTAAAAATAGCTTCTCGCAAATTTAAAACTCATACACAGTTCGTTTAACTTATAATTAACAAAGTAGTGGTGTTTGAACTGATTATTTATTTTCAACACCCTGCTACACACTTTCAGATGCCGCATCATGTTATTTGACACCTAACTTATTTCAAGTGGCTTTCTATATCTCAGGTCAATTTTTATTCTTGTTTTTTTTGTTTCTTGGTATTTCTCCGTGTTGCTCTCATGAATTCTTGGATCTAAGCTGCTTTTACGTTTACTTTCTTTGTACTGGTATGAGTTTTGTTTTTCATCGTGTTTTCTGTTTTTTTAACAGTTTATGGTAACTCAAACCAATTACTTCATTTTATTTTTTGTGATAGGTAGAAGGTACTCAAAGTATTAACAGTATGGTTCAGAAAAAATCAGAAATAAAAAATAAAATTTGTTTATAGAGTTTATACATATTAGGGTTGTTTATTATGGCATTAGGAATAGTACGTATATATAATAAAAAATTTGATTTCTCTTTAGCTTTTTTGAGCGAGAAATTTACTTTAGTTTTCTACTTATTGTAATTTTATTCTTATGTTTTTTTACTCTTCAGACACTAAAAAGTATTATCTTATAGTAGTCCAAGAACTATAAGGTTATGTGGCTGCCCCAGATTCGATAGTTATTTCATTTGAAATTTGTTCCCACCTTCTTTCAAAGTAGTCGACCATTGTGTATGGACGAGATCTTTTAGCATATTTGCTTTTGCATAAATCTTTGACGGATGTTTGCTGGGTTTTCATTTAGGGCTATATAATCAATGTCGACTTCAGTTAAAGTTGAATACCACGTCGCCAACAGACTGATCATTTTTCTTGTATCCACGAAATTAAAACGGGTTTTATACACTGTTTAAGTAACTAAACGAGCCTATTCATGTTGCTCTTAATAGCACCTGTCCATCCTCAACAATTGTTGACAAAGTTTGTTTTGAACCTTGAATCGTTCAAATGACGTGTAAAATAAAATAGTTATTGGGTCTACAAGCACGTAGGTATATTCCATAATCTACAATGATTGTTTTTTTCCTAAAAGCCTTGACTCTCATATAATTCGCGTTATAATATCTTGATCTTCTTTATATTTTGGAGCGGTTTTCTTCACATAGGATTTTGAACTTGCTTCTTTTTTATTCTGAAATACGATTCTTGAGAAATAGTGACTTTTATAATATAAATGTGCGATGACAGTTCTGGATCTCTTATCAAATCTTTACGAACCTTTGCGAACATTTTGGATGTCGTTAATTTTGGTGTTCGATCAGTTCTAGGATTGTGTGAGCAGTATCCCCTTTCTGTAATATTTTTTAATATTTTATACATCGTGTTTCTCTTCTAACCGAACTCCACAAACTGATTAGTTGCCATTTTCGAATCTTAATTGGTCGGATTAAAGCTTCCCTATTTTTCATGCTGTCAATCAGATTGACAGATCGCAAATTATTCATTGTTTTAAATAGGAGGATTGACGTCTCCAAAAAAGAATCATTATTTCAAGCCTACTATTTTACCAATTATTTGGTGTTGAAAAAAGTAATAGATAGAGTTTCTATACTTTAGAAAAACGTTGCTTGAAATACCGTTCTTAATTAATGTATTTTGGAAGTAGGTCGCATAATAGATAATAATAATTTTCGTTTAACTTGTACACACGAAGTGGGTTCTGTAATCGGAGTTGCTTATAAATGGCTTATAAACTGTGTTTCCAAATCGTTTACAGTAGGATACCACAATCTTTGTTTGAGTTTCTCTTCTGTGTTTGACTTTAGAATATTCGATTTATAAGTTACAGAACTAAAAGCTATGTGCTCGATGTCGTTCGAATTTCTGATTGAATATCGGTGATTTTGGTATTGTTAAAAATAAATGTTTCCAACAAACAAGTGAAAATTTTCCAAGATGAATAATTACCAGAGTGAACTTTTTTGAGAAATATGAAGTTATAAATATAGTGCTTTTGTGCGTAGAATTGAGCTCGTAATCCCGGACAAATTCTGACAAATCGCGACGGTTGAAGTATATGAATAGGGTGAACGAAATCACCCCAATCGAAACTTCCGTCCCGGTTCAAAAGATAATGAAAACTCGGCCGAAAAAATCCTCAGACGTATTCATAAAACTTTCAGCACTTAAATCCGGGGCAAAACCGATCGATCGTGATGGTATTGACACTACACTTAATACCGAAACAGAAAGCAATTCCAGCTCTTAAGACGAAAAAGAATAAAAAGTAAAAGAAAAAAGGGCATATTTCGTAATAAAGCGCGATTGTTTGTATTCCGCCCCGTCAAGGCTATCGCTGAAAGCATGTAAAATTCCAGGCGTCGTCATAGAAGTGATGGGAACAAGGAAAGGAAAGGGAAGTAAGCATCCTCCAAGGACCCTTCAGATTACAGAACTCCAAGGACTAGAGACATAACGTTTCTTAAACGTTGGAGCGCGCAACATCCACCGTCGTGCGCGGGAAAACTGGGCGTGAGAGGCGATCGATTGAGCATCAGGGGCTTGCTGAATCCCCACCCCTCGTGCATCCCTTCTGTGTCTGTGTCACAACCCGCTGCTGTCACATCCTAGGCATCGTCCTCTGTCAACAAGATGCGCGATTGCTAAAAAAGTGCACCATTGATGATCGTGCGATGCTTCCTGCTAATTACCGCAGCCGTCTGACCTCTCCCGACGGGATCGACAAGGTATGACGACATTTTTTATTACCATCATTATTATTATTATCTTGTATTCTTGCACGTCGACTGCTACGTGCGTCTGTGGAAACTCGACGTTGCTTGATGCTCTTTAGGTGTTGCGTGACGTCGGAAGTGGTAAATACAATCCCAACGAAAACAAAAACTCATAAAACTTTTAAATGTTTGCTTCTTTTTTTAAGAACTGTATTTGTGGGATTTAGCGTGCTGATATTGTCATTTCAATTTAGAATATCTAATTAACTGATTAAAGCGTCAGTAAGCCCTTGCCGTAGCTAATAACTTGAATTGGCAATTTGTCATTAAGAAGTTAACTGGGACCCAAGGGTATTATCGATATGAGAGCCAATCATGAAAGTCAATAATTCGCTATTTGCTTGTTAGCATTTGACCCTGTAGTTCTACTTACTTACAGTAGTGGATACTCAAAATGGGCCCGGATCAGATCGCTTCTCGTCCCTTGCAACTGCTCAAGAAACTGTCCCTTTTTCGTAAATCGTTCACTAAAATAATTTTGTTATTCAATCGGTGCTGTGTACTTTTGTTGTACATAATCAAGTATAATCTGAAAGAATTTGATTAAATAGTGGGTGGGCTTCCAGTTCCCACGACTTGGAATCACTGAACAATTTAGAGCTGTAGTTTACGTCTTGGATTAAGGTGTTCCGATTGTTTGACGATCGTAATAATACAACGCAAGTTAAGTTTATCTAAAGAAATAAAACAGACGAGTAAACTACGACATTTTATTTATGTCAAGGTGGGGCAAGCTTTCCTAAAAAAAATCTAAGAGTATTTCGAAATCAAATGTTTAAATGTTATGTTATTGTTTTTTGGTCTTTGATTGTTATACTTTTTAATATTGACTATTAACATTTTAACTGAATAAAAAAATATTAGAATTTTTTTTTTAATCTCACAGTTAAAGATAATTTTTATTTGTGACGAATATCTAATTTCGCGTTTACTCGACATTGTACAGCTTGTAAAATACGGAAATGTGTGTCTTCCGTTTCCTATCGTCTGCCGTCTGTCTGCCTAGTTGCCTCTTTTTATCCGCGTCTGTCTGTCTATTGGCGAACTTATTAGACACACAGTCTCCGAAACTACTGGATTTATTACTGTGGAATTTCAGTTATATTTTAAGATTATTGTGAGATGGTAAAGCGCTAAACGAACATTTCTCTATTAATTCCTAACAAAAAATTTATGACATCTCAAAATTTTGCCAAGTGAATCTCATTTAACATTTAGAGTATGGCAGGCTCTATTATGATAATAATCACCGATAATTATCGGTAATTTTATAATATATCCATAGTGTTAAATAAATAATAGTGGTTGCAGAATATTAATAAAATTGTATTTATCCTATAGAAGAAATTGAAGAAGTTATCTTAAAATTTTGAAAAATTTCGTTCAATTTAGGTTATTCTATACAAAATGTAAAACTAGACTAGAAAATGTTTTACAGTCTGGCATTTTTTTGTCTACTAAAAATGTGTTTGGCTTAATTATCAAGGAACAGCCCAATCTTAGGTTGTTGCTATGCGGGAAATTGACTCCGCGACGACGCAAAAGTCAGTTTCTAACAGTACACTAAACTAACAAATTTAGTCTACTATTTTAAAGAACAACTTTTGTTTTACAACCAGCGTGCAAAGAACTCGCCCTTTACTTCGTGGCGATAACGAAGACTTGACTTGATGCGTTTTTTAACTAGTTTTGTATTATTTTACAACTTCACCAGAAAATTAACAAACTTCGTGAAGGAAAGTGTTAAATATTAGTTCTGTTCACGTTCCAGGTGCAAGCAAAATGCTGTCTAAAGTTTTTAGATCAATTTTTAGTTTTTACGTATGGGTTAGACAAATGCTTTAAGGAATAGTGCCATTCTGACAAGTCGTTAATTCGTGTTTTTCTACTTTTCACAGCTTGCAGGAATCAAAATGTCAGTCTTCGTTTTTCGTCTGACTATTAGCGATTTTATTAAAGATATAATGTCCGTAACTATAAGAGGTCGTAAAACGCTAATCAAAATTTGTCAATTCATCCCGACCAAAAATTTAGCGACCGTCACCTCAAAATTTTGCTTAGTAAATCTTGTTTGAAATTTATATTGTGGTATCTTGAATTATATGTGATTTAATAATACATTTTGATTTTAACTTTACGGTTATGGGTTATCGTAAAAAATCAAATACTCCTATAAAGTTTTACAGTTACTTTTAGAACCAACCAACTTTTTCGAAACTTACACATTGTTATAAATGTTTGTGTATAATGTATTCCTCTGTATTCGATATAGTTTTTGTCTTTGAGTATATACCTACTGTTAATTTTGAAATTGTTTTTAAAGTATGTTATAAAATTAATGAAACAATTTATTTTATTGATTAAATTACAAACGGATTTTATAATTTTTTTGTATTTCTGAAATAAGTCTTCCAAAATTTTATTGAGAAAATCTTACATATACAAGTTTTCAAAAAAAAGAAAACAAAAAAGTAAAATTTTTAGTAAGACATTAATTAACTGACGAAGTTTTAGTGATTATAGAATACTAACAAAATTTTATCTATTCATCGAACCCAACACTGAATGCTTTGAAGGGAATTAGTATTTTAGTAATATGGCCTTATTTTGAAGGCAGATGATAACGGATGGAAATAAAAAAAAAAATTGTTTTGACTATATTTTTCCGAATATCTATTTGTGTAAATGTCAGACACACATGTCAATATGACAATAAATCTTAATAAAAAAAATATGTTAGGAGGAGTCCTTATCTTTGACACGTGGGATTTTTAATGTATGTTCAGGATGTAATAGAATAGGTATCTCCAGTTTTTCTTAAAACAGTTTATGGTCATCTTCTTTTTAGCATTTTGATAAAATCTTTCATCACGTGTCTTTAAAAATCAAGAACTCTATTATCTATCGAAATTTCGTAACGCAGTTTTCATCACTGTTTTCAGCTTACAGAACTGTATACTGTATACATTATCGATTTTTTGTCAGAAATGAGATACACTAAAAAGAAGCTTGTGTCGAAGAAGCAGCTTTTGATGTATCTCATTTTCAACAAAAGAATTCGACAAGATGTACGCATCGTGAAAATCGCGTTCTGAAATTTTCATAAATAATCGAGATATCGAAGTTTAAAAATACGAGATGAAAAATTTCATCGAAACTTGAAAAAGTATCATGATGGTAAACTGTTAGGACAGTCATCGATCATGTGAAGTTTTAAAAATGTTTTTTACATTTATTGAACTGAGTGATCGCATGATGATTTTTGCTAATTAACACAATAATTTAATCACCCCTGACGGAATTAACGATAACGAGTATGACGACCTTTTTTACCATCCTCAATATTGTTATTTTGTAATCCAGTGTGTTGGCTGCGAAAAGTCGATATTTGTTTCAACCTCTGTTGGTCTCGGATGTGGCATTTTGCTGTGATTACCTACTACGATATTATTAACAAATAAAATAAGCTATATTCTAAACATTCTGTTTTGTTTAATGATTTGTTGTTGAACGAATATGTCAGAGGTGTTTTCAGGCCGAAGAGTTTAACATTTCCACTCCCCTTGCCAATAATCAACTAATTAATTGCTTAATCTCTTACTGCCTTCGTAGCTTAAACTGTCAAGTTATCATTAAGAAGTTTAATGGAACTCAAGGCTATTATCAAAATGAGAGGCCGATCATGAAAGTCAATAATTCGCATTTGCTTGTTAGCTTTTGACCCTCCGTTCTCCTTACAATGACTGACTGGCTACCCAATACGATCCTGGATCAAATAATTTCTCTATCCCTAAAACCACCTTCTAGAAACTATAGTTTCTACTAAATTAAATTACTATCGAAAGATTTACCAAAACTTCATCAACTAAAAATTAATTAGGACTATTTAACTCTTATTCACTTGTTTGCTTTTGTCACCGCCATCTTATGGTTCACACTAAATCAAAGGTTGAAATAAATTTTAATTTATGTCAGTTGTAGAATTGTCCTGCAAAAAATCAATAATATCTGCATGATAATCTGCACTAATTGAAATAAGATGTAAGTCTTGTAATATAATATATGACATGGCAAAATTGTCTTACATTTTATTTACGTCTAATATATCATACCAATGTCCAAGAATTCAACCATCTCTTAGAATTTCGTCTCGAGCTTTCTTCTCAGATGAACGTTTGAAATTTTAAATTCCATTTAAACTCAATTTTTCTGTTTTCTCGATATTTCCTCTTCTCGTTATGTTTTTGAGTTTGCATGGATTTATAAAAGTTTACCTGATATGCGTGATGTGTTGGCAGAAAACCACTAGGTAAATGTACAGTGTGGAAAACCTTATGGAACAAATTAAGTGCATAATTGCATAATCAATGGCAATTGTCGAAAACGCTGAACCAGATCCATCCATATTTCTAATTATGCTATTTTTAAGTGTCATAACTTGTTCATGACGTCATCCACTTTTGTTCTATCAGGTGACACAATTTTTTTTAATGACGTCATTGTTCGGAAGGGGATGACCTCAAATAGGTACAACAACTATAAAATACGTGAATACTAATTATAAATACAAATTAATCTGTTTCAACGTTTTCGACAATTACTACTAGATTTGAAATTATATAACCACACTGTATATTATCGTCTGTGTACCTATATCTGTCTTACTAGTTGAATGTGTCCTTCAACATGAAATAATTTAAGTTATGTCCTATAGTTGTCTTTGTTTGTTTCCTGTAGGTGGTGTTAACGCAGCTTTCGATTGACATTCAAAACGAAGTGTAAATAAAAAAGTGTAAGCCCGCTCTGACCGGCGTTTAAACGTTATTTTAATAAACGTATTTTTGTATGCCAATATATTATAAATAGTTGTAATATTTATAACCTTTATTTTATGGAATTAAAAACATGTTTTTATGAAAAAATTTTAAACTTGACTGAATTGAAACTGATGG